AATGATTGGATGGATGCATGAATGGATAAATTGAATGAACGAATGGATGAATGAATGAATGAATGAATGCATAATTTAATGAATGAATAATTTAATGAATGAATGAATGAATGAATGAATAATTTAATGAATGAATGAATGAATGAATGAATGAATGAATGAATGAATGAATGAATGAATGAATGAATGAATGAATGAATGAATGAATGGTGTTGCTAACTATAATTGTGTGTTTATTCTGTGTTTACTGTTCAGCCATCGGTGAGCCGGTTAGCATAAACTGGTTCAGTCCTCAAGGCGAGCGGATCATCTCAAACGAGCGAGTGATTGTTCATACCGAGGGCGTTCGGTCCAGGCTAACCATCTATAACGCCATCATAGAGGATGCTGGGATATACCGATGCCAGGCTGCGGATGCTAAAGGACAGAGTCAAGAAGCCACAGTGGTGCTGGAGATTTACCGTGAGTTGCTGTTTTATACTATACTATCAACTAGCATCAGTGCCAATAACAGAGAGGTCACAGTTTCTTTCTCAAATATTTCCCAAGATGTTGAACAGATTTAGGAGTTTCTCACAGTATTTACTCTAATATTTGTTCTTCTGGTGAAAGTCTTATTTGTTTTATTTCGGCCAGAATAAAAGCAGTTTTTAATTGTTTTAAAGCCATTTTAAGGTCTGTATTTTTAGCGCCTTTAAGCAATATTAGTTTTGGATTGTCTCCAGAACAAGTCTATTATGTCAACATAGGCTCATTCTGAAAGCGAACCCCTGTATACATTTCTGGAGATCGTGAATTATGTAGCCAGAGGTATGTATGGCTGCATTTTGTCTTTAAAAGAAACGCCATGGGGTGGGATGACGCTGTTCCTTTTCAAGCATATCAGCTGACCAATCACCTGCATGTGGACAACTTTCCTATTTTTACCAGCTTACCATTAGCGCTGGAGTTGACCACGACGACGGGGTACGAGAGTCCGGCAAAGAACTAATCCTGAAAGCGGGTAAAACAAAATGCAAAAGCCCAAAAAAATAAAATAAACAAATAAATAACTGGGTGAGAACGTGGTAAAATATGAAACCGTGGTTAAATCAGGCAGCCACGAAGGTTTTTCTTTTTCTGCATTGCTTTTTAAAACACTGACTGTGTGATTTAGGGAAGGGGGTGGGCATGGTCATGGGTCGATCAGTCAGTCAACAGTCTCTGCTAGATTTACGTGAGAACAGCAGGTGCGAAGAGAAATTTGAGATCTGAAAAAAGCGTACACAGACGATTCACGAAAGCAAACAAACGAAAAAAAAAAAACATATCTCCTGGGACGTATTTGGTGCTCTCCAGATATGAATACAGGAGTACGTAATCAGAAAGAGCCTGGGTTGTGTGGTGTTTAGAAAAAACCTTTCTGTTTAACAGAAATTGGGGATAAAAAATATACAGGGGTGTGGGGGGGATTGGGGGGTAATAATTCTGACTTTACCTGTATACTGCAGCTAGATCATTTGACATAAGGGCAATAAACTGCAAGTGTTCCTCTTTTCCTGTTTAAACTGGCGAATATTATTATTCATCATGCATTGCGAAAGCTTTTTAAAAAAATTAAGTCATCTCCATTATTTAGAGACGAATACATCTGGGTGTTCATTCATTCATTCATTCATTCATTTTCTTTTTGGCCTAGTCTCTTTATTAATCAGGGCTCACCACAGCGGAATGAACCGCCAACTTATCCGGCATATGTTTTATGCAGTGGATGCCCTTCCAGCTGCAGCCTATCACTGGGAAACATTCATACACACTCATTCTATCTGGGTGTCATCTGTATAAAACAAATACATGAAATACTGCATTCAGGAGATCCAAGAGGAAACGTTCATAATGAGAACAATAACGATCCCAAAGTAGAACCCTGGGGTGCCTC